TATTTTCCACTTAATGAATCATGAATGTATTTTTTCTTCCTTATGATTTTCTCAATATTTTCTCTTCTCTAGTTTATTATAATAATCCAAAGGAGTAGGGCGCTGGCCCCATATGCTGGAGGTGGTGGGTTCAAACCAAGCCCAGGCCAAAACTCAAAAAAAAATAATAATAATCCAGCATAGAATACATACAACATATAAAACATGAAAGCTTATAGTCCAATTTTTTTTTTTTTTTTTGAGACAGAGCCTCAAGCTGTCCCCCTGGGTAGAGTGTCGTGGCATTACAGCTCACAGCAACCTCCAACTCCTGGGCTCAAGCAAGTCTCCTGTCTCCGCCTCCCAAGTAGCTGGGACCACAGGTGCCCGCCACAACGCCCGGCTATTTTTTGGTTGCAGTTGTCGTTGTTTGGCGGGTCCGGGCTGGGGATTCGAACCCGCCACCTTAGGTGTACGTGGCTAGCGCCTTAGCCAGTTGAGCTATAGGCGCCGAGCCTTATAGTCCAATTTTTGATGAGCCAAAAGATACAGTATTACCTAATATATGGGGTCCATATTTAAATTTTCCACTTTACCTCAAAATTTTCTTTACAGGTCCCACATACTTCATCTAGTTTTCTGTTTCTTTACTCTCCACCACCTAGAATAGTCTCTCTCCTTTTTATTAAGCATTGACAAATGTGAAAAGTCTAGATTACTTGTATCATAGAATGCCTCATAAATGATGGTTTCTTATGATGAGATTCATGCTGAACATTTAGAAAGAGTATGTTGAAGACGTGTGTTTCCAGCTGCCTCACATCGGGAAGAGCAGTGTTGGTGTGTCCCAGTATCCAGGATGCTAAATTTAATCACTTGGGTAGGGTAGTACCCACCAGATCTCTCTACTGTAAAGATAATCTTTTTTCCTTTATACTTAGTAAGTAATCTGTGGAGTGATATTGTGAGACCATACAAATCCTATTCCCCAACAAACTTTCACCCAGTGGTTTTTGATAACCTTTACAAGTTAGTACATTGCTGGTGGCAAATAGAGATTGTCTAATTCTTCCATTCTGTCACATTTTTTAACAGCCATTCTTCAGTTAAGAGAACTTTCCTCCCCTCCTCTCCACTGCCCACTTACAGACTCCTGAATTTTTTATTTCGTGAATTATGATTCATTACTGTCACTTTTCTTTTTGAAACCAGCACTATGTCCTTTTGATACACACATGTCACTTTAGTTGTTGAGTACCATCTTTATTTCTGCCATAACAAGATGTTTAAAGCTCATCTTATACATTGCCTGCTCCAGACCTGAAACCAAACGTTTCTCTAGGGAGCCCTTAGTCCTTTTAATAGGAAATGGCATTTATTTCTCATACTGGTTCTCTTTAGTAATAGCAGAGAGGTTCTTATTGCTATTTGCCTGGCTCCTTCATCTATCTCTAAATTCATTACAAACTCAAGAAAAGGGGGAGATAAGGTGTTATCTATTGACTCCCTTAAACTTCAACACTGACCCAAGTGTGATACAGAAAGGATTCACATCTTTTCTCTTATATTTCTGTATTGATCCAGCAAATATTTTCTGAACCCTCTGTGCAGGGTTTTACTAAGCACAGAGGGTAAAATTTTAAGCCAGACATACACAGTCCTGGTCTTCACAGAGCTTAGCCTTAGTATGGAGGAAAAATGTGAATCAAATGATCCAATATTAACTAAAAATAGTGTTAAGTGGTCAAAAATTAGGCATACTGAGATTTAGGTGTTTAATAGGGATTCTGATAAACTCTAGATAGTTGGGAAGAGTGTTCTCTAAAATATAAACTTTATCTAATGTGTGAAAAATAAATAGAACTTACTCAGGCCAAGAGTAAAGGCTTTATTCTCTAGGTAGTTGGAAAGAGACTTCCCTAAAACATAAATTGAAATCTGACGTGTGAAAAATGGGTAGAAGTTACTCAGGCCAGGAGTAAAGGTATATATGTATATATGGGTGAGCGGGCGGAATAGCTGGGTCATAGAGGAAGTGAGTCAAGCCAGCTGGTTCCAGACAAGGGCAGAGAGAAACTTGGAATATTTGAAAAACTAAAAGAATGCTAAGGTCTTTATATGTAATACAGCAGCTGTGGCTAAAGGACAGGGCAGAGGCAGACTCCATAGAGCCTGGAGGGCAAGCTAAGGGTTTTAGTCTAGTCTTTGTTCTCAGTATAATAGGAAGCCATTAAGGGCTTAAACAGGACAGAGGCATAATCACATCTATATTTTAAAATGAATATTGAATAATATAAAAAAGATTAGCTGGGTCAAGAGTGCACTTCAGTCTTACAGCTGGAATGCCCTTTGCAATATAGTTCAGAGAGAGCTGACAAGTAGCATATTCTAGGGTGGTGGCTGTGAAATGTCACTGTCACTTCCTGTCACTGAATAAACACACACCCATTTTTCGGCTCTCTAAAGACTTCTGGCTCGGCGCCTATAGCTCAACCAGCTAAGGTGCCAGCCACGTACATCTAAGGTGGCAGGTTCGAATCCCCAGCCCGGACCCACCAAACAA